CATCAAGGTGATCATTCTCTCATTCTCCAGAAAATGCAAATGTATTAACATGATCTATTCAACATATTATTCTGTTCCATCCCATGTGTTCAGATTGTTCACATGATCTATTCAACGTATTATAAGACGGCTTATAAGACACTATTTATTTAAGTACTATTTTTCTAGCATTTATTTACCACGTAACCTGATAAAGGAAAACTCTGAGGCCTAGTTATAGCATTTAACTCTAGCAGATAGATTTATGAGGTCAGGAACAACTCCTAACCGTACTATGGTGCCTGCTTCTGCTCCAGACTGCTCACAGTAGACCTGGTCTTGGGTCCTAAACATTACATACAGGATATTACACATTGTCCTGCTCCACACTGCTCACAGTAGACCTGGTCTTGGGTCCTAGACATTACATACAGGATATTACACATTGTCCTGCTCCACACTGCTCACAGTACACCTGGCCTTGGGTCCTAAACATTACATACAGGATATTACACATTGTCCTGCTCCACACTGCTCACAGTAGACCTGGTCTTGGGTCCTAAACATTACATACAGGACATTACATGATCGCTTAATATCCTATAGTGCTGAAAGACCTGGCGTTCATCCCGGTGCACACCAAGCCTGAAGACACAGTGAAGCAGCTGGATGAGCTGTACGACGTCGTCAACGTAGTGAAGAAGAAATGGAAGCCCTGCCTCACCTGTCTCGATACAGGTAGTATTTTTATAGTAATGTACGTTTACTAACTAGTGCCGACCTGGATACAGACACGTCTTTATTTTAAAGGTTAAAGTTCAGTCACACTTTATTTTAAGGGACAGCACATATTAGCCACTCATTTGTAGTTTTTAAAGTTTGTATATACAGTTGAAGTCGGAAGTTTACCTACACCTTAGCCAAATACATTTAAACTCAGTTTTTCACAATTCCTGACATTTAATCCTAGTAAAAATTCCCTGTCTTAAGTCAGCTAGGATCACCACTTTATTTTAAGAATGTGAAATGTCAGAATAATAGTAGAGAGAATGATTTATTTCAGCTTTTATTTCTTTCATCACATTCCCAGTGGGTCAGAAGTTTACATACACTCAATTAGTATTTGGTAGCATTGCCTTTAAATTGTTTAACTTGGGTCAAACGTTTCGGGTAGCCTTCCACAAGTTTCCCACAATAAGTTGGGTGAATTTTGGCCCATTCCTCCTGACAGAGCTGGTGTAACTGAGTCAGGTTTGTAGGCCTCCTTGCTTGCACATGCTTTTTCAGTTCTGCCACACATTTTCTATAGGATTGAGGTCAGGGCTTTGTGATGGCTTTGTGATGGCCTTGACTTTGTTGTCCTTAAGCCATTTTGCCACAACTTTGGAAGTATGCTTGGGGTCATTGTCCATTTGGAAGACCCATTTGCGACCAAGCTTTAACTTCCTGACTGATGTCTTGAGATGTTGCTTCAATATATCCACATAATTTTCCTTCCTCATGATGCCATCTATTTTGTGAAGTGCACCAGTCCCTCCTGCAGCAAAGCACCCCCACAGCATGATGCTGCCATCCCCGTGCTTCACGGTTGGGATGGTGTTCTTCGGCTTGCAAGCATACCCCTTTTTCCTCCAAACATAACAATGATCATTATGGCCAAACAGTTCTATTTTTGTTTCATCAGACCAGTGGACATTTCTCCAAGAAGTACGATATTTGTCCCCATGTGCAGTTGCAAACCATAGTCTGGCTTTTTTATGGCAGTTTTGGAGCAGTGGCTTCTTCCTTGCTGAGCGGCCTTTCAGGTTATGTCGATATAGGACTCATTTTACTGTGGATATAGATACTTTTGTACCTGTTTCCTCCAGTATCTTCACAAGGTCCTTTGCTGTTGTTCTGGGATTGATTTGCACTTTTCTCACCAAAGTACGTTCATCTCTAGGAGACAGAATGCGTCTCCTTCCTGAGCAGTATGACGGCTGCGTGGTCCCATGGTGTTTATACAGTACTTGCGTACTATTATTTGTACAGATGAACATGGTACCTTCAGGCGTTTGGAAATTGATCCCACGGATGAACCAGACTTGTGGGGGTCTACCATTTTTTTTCCTGACGTCTTGGCTGATTTGTTTTGATTTTCCCATGATGTCAAGCAAAGAGGCACTGAGTTTGAAGGTAGGCCTTGACATTCATCCACAGGTACACCTCCAAATGACTCAAATGATGTCAATTAGCCTATCAGAAGCTTCTAAAGCCATGACATCATTTTCTGGAATTTTCCAAGCTGTTTAAAGGCACAGTCAACTTAGTGTATGTAAACTTCTGACCCACTGGAATTGTGATACAGTGAATTATAAGTGAAATAATCTGTCTGTAAACAATTGTTGGAAAAATGACTTGTGTCATGCACAAAGTAGATGTCCTAACCGACTTGCCAAAACTATAGTTTGTTAACAAGAAATGTGTGGAGTGGCTGAAAAACGAGTTTTAATGACTCCAACCTAAGTGTATGTAACCTTCCGATATCAACTGTAAGTAGCTTTGTTATGTCTTATTAGACATATATTAGATCTTAATTAAGTGTTTTCTCATTCAAACAGTGTAAGTCATGTGTTACTGCCCAATTCTTAATAACCTCATTGTTAGCCATAATAAAGACATATTAGTATTTAATAAAGAGCAAGTTACACAAGATACAGGCTCTTAGTCAGCTGTCTCAATGTGGGACATAGTCCCTTAAAATGTGTTCCCTATTCTGAAGAGTAACCATATTTTTACTTGCAGAAATATTACACTGAAATGACCTGATTGGACAGAAAGGGGCACATCACATCTCCCCACAACCACGAGCAAAAGCATATAATGTTTGCCTGAAATTAAGGATTTGTGTAGTTTCATTAATATGTGAAAATGATTCATATTATATCATATACGCCACACAATCCAACATTCAAGTAAACATTTTACCTAAACAATTAACAACTAAACTTCCATAGTGTATCTTCAAATCACAATTACCACTTTTAGGACATCTGTGACCATAAAGGACTTATTGGTAATCATAACTTGTCATATCATTGTTGTCACATTGATGTTCCCAGGAAATGAGTTTACATAAGGTGTACAAACACATATAACGAAGCAAAATCTACAAGAGCAAACTCTCCGTCACTGATTCACAGGCTAATCAAATACAAAGGAAACATTTTAGCATCACTGTCCAAATACATATAGAGAGCACTGTATACCAGTTGCAGGTAGCCTCGCGGTTAGAGCATTGGGCCAGTAACTGAAAGGTTGCTGGTTCGAATCCCCGAGCCGACAAGGCTCTATCGACGTGCCCTAGAGCAAAAGGCACTTAATCATAATTGCTCTTGTAAGTCGCTATGGATAAGAGCGTCTCCTAAAATGTCCTAATACATAGCGGTCGTTCTTATTTATATACACTATGGAAGTTCATTATTTCATGAAACTACAAAATCCTTCATTTCAGGTTAACATTATATGCTTTTGCTCACGAGTGTGGGGAGATGTGATGTGCCCCTTTATGTACAATGAGGTAATTTTGGGACAATATTTCTGCAAGTAAGAATAAGATAACACTTTAGAATAGGGAACACTCTGTAGCTCAGCTGGTAGAGCACGGCGCTTGTAACGCCAAGGTAGTGGGTTCGATCCCTGGGACCACCCATACACAAAAATGTATGCACGCATGACTGTAAGTCGCTTTGGATAAAAGCGTCTGCTAAATGGCATATTATTATTAACACATATTGAGGTACTATGTAGAGCAGGGATCATCAACTAGATTCAGCCTCGGGCCAATGTTTTCTTGAGAGGATGGTCAGGGGGCCGGAACAGCAAATTTGAAGACGAGAAGCTGAAACAGATAAAACATAGTCATTTCAAAACTTGCTTACTGTAAAATATTTTCTCTCTATTATGTGTGTGAATACGGAATAATTTGGAACAGATTTCCAAAATTAAAATCAATGCAAGGTTGTTTTTTTTGCGCAGAAAACTTGGGGGCCAAAAATAATCACCAGCGGGCACAATTCGGCTAGTTGGGGAACCTAGATGTAGGGTGTTCAACCAAAAACGCATATTTTGACCAAAGGGTAAAATAATATGTTAATTGTGCACATTGTCCTCTTAGAAAACCAATTGTCCAAACCTCATGTCTCTATAATAATCCGTTAAAAGGTTATTGGAGTTGTTACCCTTGTAGGATACCTGACAGGCTCACTTTCCCGTTGAACTCGTCATATTTCTTCTCCAATCCGCAGGACATAAAACAATATAGACGTAAGATAGATATCGATTTTGAGACATGACATGTAGTATTTTTTCACATTTTAGCATACGCTTTACAACTTTGAAGACGACCACCACAACATGTAAAATCGTCAAAAGTTACTGCAAGAAAGCTGCGCCACTCTGTCAACAGAGCTTGATGCTTATTATTGGATGACCCCACTGAATGATTCTGAACATGAATAATTATATTTTTCTTGGTAAAATGTATTTTATAACGTAAGGAAGTGAAATTTAATCACCAAAGCACATTTTCACCCACTCTGGGCAGAGTAGGTGGACACCCTATACTATGTCCTTATTAAACCCACACTGAGACAGCTGACTAAGAGTCTGCATCTTGTGTAACTTGTTCTTTATTCAATACTAATATGTCTTTGTTATGGCTAACAATTAGGTTATTAAGAATTGGCCAGTAACACGTCACTTATACTGTTTGAATAAGAAAACCCTTAATTAAGGCCTAATGTACGGCTAATAAGAGATAATAAATGCCTTATTAGATACTTATATACAGACTTATAAATTACAAAATGTTACCCACTTTTTTTATCACAACATTATATCATTGTTGAGAGCATTAGGCTTGAAATAAAGAGAATATAGAAGTACTTGATTTAGTGTGGTATCACTGCCTGTGTCTCTGGCAGAACATCATGATCTTGGGCGATTTCAACGAGGACTGAAGTTACGTCACCAAGAGATGCATGACAGATATCCATATCCGTAGTGACAGGAAGTTCCACTGGGTGATTGGAGATGATGTGGACACCACGGCCAACACAGGGAATGATCACACCAATGACACCCAACTGCTATTCTGTCCTAGCTTGTCCTGGAGCATCACTCTGATTCTCACACCTCTCCATCTCCCCTCTGATTCTCACTCCTCTCCATCTCTCCATCTCTGATTCTCAATCCTCTCCATCTCTCTCCCTCCACCTCTCCCCTCTCCTTCTTCCCTTCCACCATGAGCCTGAGGTCCAAGCATATCTCCAGCTCCAGTGGCCACCACAGCAGCCCTCTCCACTCTGCCTGCTGGCCCCTCTCAACTTGGAGATCGACCCCAACCTGCAGGTCACCCGCATCCATGAGAAGGACCAGATCAAGGGCCTCAACAACCGCTTCGCCTCCTTCATCGACAAGGTCTGTGTGGTTGTTACTTAATCAGGATAGTCCACACAGTAGCAATAATTGAACTGTTTTCCAGGGAGTCTTATGTCTATAATGGTTTTCCTCTGTCTGAATGAGCTACAAAAGGACTGAAAGCCAACTTGGTTTAGCCATTGATTGGAAAAAGGCAGAACAAACAGTGATTGCCATCTGTTTATTTTTTCATTACCACATTAAAGTAACAGTCTATGACAAATCAAATTCAAATGTATTTAATAAAGCCATTTTTTACATCAACAGTTGTCACAAAGAGCTTATACAGATACCCAGCCTAAAACCCCAAACAGCAAGCAATGCAGATGTGGAAGCACAGTGGCTAGGAAAAACTCCCCAGAAAGGCAGGAACCTAGGAAGAAACCTAGAGAGGAACCAGACTCTGAGGGGTGGCCAGTCCTCTTCTGGCTGTGCCGGGTGGAGATTATAAGAGTACATGGCCATTAAGGCCAGATCGTTCTTCAAGATGTTCATAGATGACCAGCAGGGTCAAAGGATAATCACAGTGGTTATAGAGGGTGCAACAGGTCAGCACCTCAGGAGCAAAGATGATGAAAGTAAAGGATTTTTTGATTGTTTGTTGTTCTGTATTTCGTTTGACTTTGACTTCGTATATCAGTTGGACCCATGAAAACAAAGTCACCTGCTCTTTCACAGCCGTGGTCAACGATACACCACTTAGCTTACATCATATCTGACGTTTCTCACGGAATGGCTAACAGAGTCACAATAGAGGCTTTGTGCCTGTTCTACTCTACGGATCACCAGGCTAGTGCACAGCCCTAAGCTTCCTGCAATAACAAACTCCTATTCGTCTCAGGAGTTAACCTGAACCCTAGACATTTTTGAGACAAACCATGCCCTATTGGTGCAGGGGATTTGGGATGCGAAGCCCATTTAAAGATGTCTAATAACAAGTAAAATATATTTAAAGCACCATCCCATGTCCCATTTCTCTCAGGTCATTCAGCTCGCTGGTAACCTAATGAAAACAGGTCAGACGTGGTGTGGTCATGCAAGACCGGAAAATTCCCTAGTGTTAAGGGAGGGAGCTTTTGTGTTGATTGCAGACAAACAATGGGAAGAAAATACAGCAGCCTTGGGCATGAAATAGAACCTTGGGCATGAAATAGAACCTTGAGGATCTCAGTAGGGCTGACTGACTAGCCATTACAACCACAATAACCTCATTACTGTAGTATCTACTGTTATCTACTATGTAACTACTGTTATCTATGGAGTATCCACTGTTATCTACTATGTAACTACTGTTATCTATGGAGTATCCACTGTTATCTATGGAGTATCCACTGTTATCTACTATGTAACTACTGTTATCTACGGAGTATCCACTGTTATCTATGGAGTATCTACTGTTATCTATGGAGTATCCACTGTTATCTACGGAGTATCCACTGTTATCTATGGAGTATCTACTGTTATCTATGGAGTATCTACTGTTATCTATGGAGTATCCACTGTTATCTACGGAGTATCCACTGTTATCTATGGAGTATCCACTGTTATCTATGGAGTATCCACTGTTATCTATGGAGTATCCACTGTTATCTACGGAGTATCTACTGTTATATATGGAGTATCTATTGTTATCTATGGAGTATCTATTGTTATATATGGAGTATCTACTGTTATCTATGGAGTATCTACTGTTATCTATGGAGTATCCACTGTTATCTATGGAGTATCTACTGTTATCTATGGAGTATCCACTGTTATCTATGGATTATCTACTGTTATCTATGGAGTATCCACTGTTATCTATGGAGTATCCACTGTTATCTACAGAGTATCCGCTGTTATCTACAGAGTATCTACTGTTATCTATGGAGTATCCACTGTTATCTATGGAGTATCCACTGTTATCTACGGAGTATCCACTGTTATCTATGGAGTATCTACTGTTATCTATGGAGTATCCACTGTTATCTATGGAGTATCTACTGTTATCTATGGAGTATCCACTGTTATCTATGGAGTATCTACTGTTACAGTGCATTCGGAAAGTATTCAGACCCCTTCACTTTTCCCACATTTTGTTATCTTACAGCCTTACTCTAAAATTGATTAAATAAATAAAACCTCTCATCAATCTACACACAATACCCCATTGTGACAAAGCAAAAACAGGTTTTTAGACATTTTTACTAATGTATTAAAAATAAAAAACAGAAATACCTTATTTACTTAAGTATTCAGACCCTTTGCTATGAGACTCGAAATTGAGCTCAGGTGTGTTCTGTTTCCATTGATCATCCTTGAGATGTTTCTACAACTTAATTGAAGTCCACCTGTGGTAAATTCAATTGATTGGACATGATTTGGAAAGGCACACACCTGTGTATATAAGGTCCCACAGTTGACAGTGCATGTCAGAGCAAAAACCAAACCATGAGGTTGAAGGAATTGTCCGTAGAGCTCCGAGACAGGATTGTGTCGAGGCACAGATCTGGGGAAGGGTACCAAAAAACGTCTGCAGCATTGAAGGTCCCCAAGAACACAGTGGCCTCAGTCATTCTTAAATGGAAGAATTTGGAACCACCAAGACTCTTCCTAGAGCTGGCCGCCCGGCCAAACTGAGCAATTGGGGGAGAAAGGCCTTGGTCAGGGAGGTGACCAAGAACCGATGGTCACTCTGACAGCGCTCCAGAGTTCCTCTGTGGAGATGGGAGAACCTTCCAGAAGACAACCATCTCTGCAGTACTCCACCAATCAGGCCTTTATGGTAGAGTGGCCAGACAGAAGCCACTCCTCAGTAAAAGGCACATGACAGCCCGCTTGGCAGTTTGCCAAAAGGCACCTAAAGGACTCTCAGACTATGAGAAAACAAGATTCTCTCCACATCTGGAGGAAACCTGGCACCATCCCTACGGTGAAGCGTGGTGGTGGCAGCATCATGCTGTGGGGATGTTTTTCAGCGGCAGGGACTTGGAGACTAGTCAGAGAAAATCCACCGTGACCAAAATGTGGTATCTTTGAATCAAAGAGAAAGGCCTCTCTTCAGGGCCACTGAAGACCCTGCATTACCACGCGCTATTTCCTCAACTAACTGCTTCTCTTTTCTCCCTGTAGGTGCGTTTCCTGGAGCAACAGAATAAGATGTTAGAGACTAAGTCTGACCTGCTGCACGGTAAGCAGACGGGCCGCTCCAACATCGAGCCGCTGTTCGAGGCCTACATGGCCAACCTCCGCCGCCAGATGGACGTGGTCAGCAACAACAAGACCAAGCTGGACGGAGAGCTGAGGAACATGCAAGGTCTGGTGGAGGACTTCAAACACAAGTAGGAGTCTGTCTGTTCTGTTTCTCTGTCTGTCTATGTCTGTCTGTCTGTCTGTCTGTCTGTCTGGACGGAGAGCTGAGGAACATGCAAGGTCTGGTGGAGGACTTCAAACACAAGTAGGAGTCTGTCTGTTCTGTTTCTCTGTCTGTCTGTGTCTGTCTGTCTGTCTGTCTGTCTGGACGGAGAGCTGAGGAACATGCAAGGTCTGGTGGAGGACTTCAAACACAAGTAGGAGTCTGTATCTATCTGTCTATCTATCTGTATGTCTATCTATCTGTCTGTCTGTCTGTCAGTCTGTTTATCTCTCTCTGTCTGGACTGAGAGCTGAGGAACATGCAGTTTGTGGTGGAAGACTTCAAACACAAGTAGGAGCACCTCTAGTTATTTTACCAGGAACGTTGGTTGAGTTCTATTCGTTCTCTTTTTATCTGGCAATGACCTGGGGAAGAGTTGCCAGCGAGAGGGGTTTAGTCTGCAGTTTCATGGAGAAACTCCTGGCCCGGATTATGACTCATTTATTATCTGGTGTCATTTTAACACTGACTAATAACAAAGTGTGACAGAAGATGATCAAAGCCAGAACCTTTCTGACCACAGCCAGTCCCGTGTCGTTCTGGTCTTACCTAGACACCAAGATGAGATCAACAAGAGACACAATATGGAGAACCAATTTGTAAATCTGAAAAAGGTGAGAACATCACATTTCTCCAGTGACACCTGAATTGTGTTTTAATGGTGCAGTCTCTGAAGTATAACATTGATGCCTTTGGACTCCTTTATGGACACAATATCATTCTATGACATCAACTCGATGTTGTATTCAGCGATACAGTGCTGCACCATGAGAGTGAGGTTAAGTTAGACAAACACTGCAGATGAAAGGGCACAGAGAGACAGAGACAACAATATGACCAAACCTGCCCCACCTTCTGCGAGATGAAAAAAACATAAGCTCATAGGTATCATATCACCACTGAAAAACGAAAGAACTGGACATGGGGTGTGTCGGGGGGGTCAAAGAACATGTCAAACCACCATGTAAAACGGGTGTGTCGGGGGGTCAGAGAACATGTCAAACCACCATGTCAAAACCAATTTCAGCCTAACTAGTTGCCTTGCAATGAAACAATCAGTCTTCGATAAATTGCGACTGGTATGTTTGGACAAGGTACTTGGTGGCCTACTGTTCTTTCAAGGTATTAGGTTTACAAACAGTAGTAGTATGTTGTCCTATCAGGATGTGGACTCAGCAGACCTGGTGAAAGCAGACCCGGGAGACAAGGTGGGAGCGCTGACTGATGAGATCAACTTCCTCAGGTCCATCTATGAGGAGGTAAGGTCATTACTGTATTACCAAGAAACTACAATCCACAAATGTGGTCCTTTATGGCTCAGGCAGTTGGTGAGAGTGAGTGGCTATCAATGCCAAGGTTGTGGGTTCAAATCCTGCAATGATCATATGCAAAAAATGTAGGAACTCTCGTTACTGTAAGATCCTTTGGAGTGTTAGAATGTTTGTTTACCTACCCAAATGTTAGTTCACCTCTCCATACATCCAGGAGCTGCGTGAGCTGCAGGTCAGTATCAGGGACACCTCTGTCGTGGTGCAGATGGACAACAGTCGCGACCTCAACATGGACCAGATAGTGGCTGACGTCAAAGCTCAGTACGAGGACATCGCTGTTAAGAGCCGAGAGGAGGCTGAGATGTGGTACAAGTCCAAGGTGAACAACAGTTGGCTATTCTAGGATTGAAGTGGTTAAGAGGAATTTTGTTTCACTACATGGAAATCAATTCCCATTACACACATACTGAACCGAGCTGTCCTGCTCTGGCCTGGTTACACATCCATCCATAGCAGCTGGAACCATGTTTGAAGGACAATGGGAAAGGAAAAGATCAGAGTCTAAAATGTGTGGTTTGGCAGATAGTGCGAAGAAGATGCAAGAGAACTAGGCCTCTCAGAGTAGGAGTGCTGATCTAGGATCAGTTTATCCTTTTAGATCATAGTGAATAACATTATTTGGACCTGATCCTAGACCCGCAGTCCAACTCTGAGATACTTTGTGGATACGGGCCCTGATTTTCGGGGCCTTCAAGTAATGCAAGTTGTGTTTTGATCTCATTTGGATCAGATGGCCATCCAGGCCACCCAGTGTGGAAACGAGCTGAGGAACACCAAGGGAAAGATAGCAGAAATCAACCGCTTGATCGGCCGTCTGCAGAGTGAGATGGAGGCTGTCAAACAACAGGTAGTTCACTTATTATATAATGCTATATGGTTTAACTGCTTTGAGGCACAGTAATTTCAAACAAAAACATGTATGCAGTACATACCCTGCCAGATGGGATCTACTTTATCGGATATAAGATTCAGCAGCCACTAAGGCTGTAAGTGCCACTTGGTGTGTAAGTCGCTCTGGATAAGAGCGTCTGCTAAATGACTAAAATGTAAATGTAAATGTAAGCAAGAAAGTAATGCCATGGAGTTGATGCAACCTTAACCCTGGTGTTGATGTCCCTAATGTCCCGTAGAGTGTCAACCTGGATAACCAGATCGCTGATGCTGAGGGCCGCGGGGAGCTGGCTGTGAAGGAGGTTAAATCCAAGATCAGAGATCTGGAGGATGCTCTGCAGAGGGCCAAGCAGGACATGGTCAGGCAGCTCAGAGAGTACCAGGACCTGATGAACCTCAAGCTGGCCCTGGACATAGAGATAGCCACCTACAGGAAACTACTGGAGGGAGAGGAGGACAGGTATGGAGGGAGAGGAGGACAGGTATGGAGGGAGAGGAGGACAGGTATGGAGGGAGAGGAGGACAGTTATGGAGGGAGAGGAGGACAGTTATGGCAGTATGGAGGGAGAGGAGGACAGGTATGGAGGGAGAGGAGGAGGTATGGAGGGAGACGAGGACATGTATGGAGGTATGTAGGGAGAGGAGGACAGGTATGGAGGGAGAGGAGGACAGGTATGGAGGGAGAGGAGGACAGGTATGGGGAGAGAGGAGGACAGGTATGGAGGGAGAGGAGGACAGGTATGGAGGGAGAGGAGGAGGTATGGAGGGAGAGGAGGACAGGTATGGATGTATGGAGGGAGAGGAGGACAGGTATGGAGGGAGAGGAGGACAGGTATGGAGGGAGAGGAGGACAGGTATGGAGGGAGAGGAGGACAGGTATGGGGAGAGAGGAGGACAGGTATGGAGGGAGAGGAGGACAGTTATGGCGGTATGGAGGGAGAGGAGGACAGGTATGGAGGGAGAGGAGGACAGGTATGGAGGGAGAGGAGGACAGGTATGGAGGGAGAGGAGGACAGGTATGGAGGGAGAGGAGGACAGGTACGGAGGGAGAGGAGGACAGGTATGGAGGTATGGAGGGAGAGGAGGACAAACCCCTTGAGTTTTTCCATGTTTTGTTACGTTACAGCCTTATTCTAAAATTGATTAAATAAATAACAATTATCATCAATCAACACACAATACCGACAAAGTGAAAACAAGTTTTTAGATTTTTTTGCAAATGTATTAAAAATAAAAAACTGAAATACCATATATTCAGACCCTTTGCTATGAGACTCGAAATTGAGCTCAGGTGCGTTCTGTTTCCATTGATCATCCTTGAGATGTTTCTATAACTTAATTGGAGTCCACCTGTGGTAAATTCAATTGATTGGACATGATTTGGAAAGGCACACACCTGTGTATATAATGTCCATAGAGCTCCGATACAGGATTGTCGAGGTACAGATCAGGGGAAGGGTACCAAAAAATGTCTGCAGCATTGAAGGTCCCCGAGAACACAGTGGCCCTCCATCATTCTTAAATGGAAGAAGTTTGGAATCACCAAGACTCTTCCTAGAGTTGGCCGCCCAGCCAAACTGAGCACTCAGGGGAGAAGGGCCTTGGTCAGGGATGTGACCAAGAACATGATGGTCACTCTGACAGAGCTCCAGAGTTCCTCTGTGGAGATGGGAGAACCTTCCAGAAGGACAACCATCTCTGCAGCAACTCCCCCAATCAGGCCTTTATGGTAGAGTGGCCAGACGGAAGCCACTCCTCAGTAAAAGGCACATGACAGCCCGCTTGGGAGTTTGCCAAAACGCACCTAAAGGACTCTCAGATCATGAGAAACAAGATTCTCTGGTCTGATGAAACCAAGATTGAAGTCGTTGGCCTGAATGCCAAGCGTCACATCTGGAGGTGAAGCATGTTGGTGGCAGCATCATGCTGTGGGGATGTTTTTCAACGTCAGGGACTTGGAGACTAGTCAGGAAGGAGGCAGTAATGTAACAAAATGTGTAAAAAGTCAAGGGGGTCTGAATACTTTCCGAATGCACTGTAAATATACAGTTTATAGAGGTTTTATACAAATGTTCTGTATAAATAGCCTCTAAAATATATGTTAACAGACCATAAATCTACATGTTTGTTTTCGTGGAAAGCTATTATATGATACAGTATCAGTACCTGTTGCATTTACAACTTGTATAAGTCCTATCATCAACTGATTTCAGCCAGTGTATGGCTGTGGATTGACTGCATTGTTGGAATGGAATGTTGGCATATTGGCAGTTAATTTGAAAAATCATTCCTCTAAAACTGACTGGCTAGCTAATAAAAATAAAGTGCAGATAAATGCATTATTTTACATAATATCTTATCACAGCAGTAGCAAACCATGGTTGACCAACTCCCTGACCTTTATACCGTCATAAGAAGGTTCATGTCCATTCTAGTATTCTAATTCCTAATTCTATGCTCTAACCATTAGACTGCCACTGGTGTGTTCTATTCAGGTTCTAAAAGTAGCAGTAACAAACAGCAGCTTCAGCTCCCCAACACCAAGCTGCTGATTAAAACGACTGAACAAAGAGACAACTCCAGATTCAGCTCTCACTGAAGAACCCTCAGATCCTTCTGGCTGAGGATGAAGAACCGTTACCGGTATGTGAGAGTTTATATCAGATAAATTTCACATGTATTGCTCCTTTTGTTTATCTACATTCTGTAATGAGCATGGAGAGTATACCATAAGATTATGATTCACGATCTAATAGTTTTGATTTTGTAGCTAGTTGTTTGTAGCTAGTTGTTTGTAGCTACAAACTTTTGATTGTTCTTTCTGTAAAGAAAACACAAATTGTATGACAAACTTGACAAAGATGTTTTTTCCTCACCACAGTTTCAACTGGTCATTTCATGTCAATGTCAAATATTTTTACATTACAATTAACACAGCTCGTGCTACTTGCTGTAACACATGGGATGCTGTAGAAGTTTTTAAATAAAGAACAAGAGAGTATTCAATGGCTATAATGTAAATAAAAAAGCTTCATCCTCAGGCAGAGAGAGAATGGTTCTTTTCTAATAATTTAATATGAACTTTGAGAGAGATCCCTGAAGGAAGGGGGTCATGTTATTTGAAGAGTTATCATGCTTTGGAGTAGTAAATTCATGTTTTTTTTACATCCCAAAAAATAAAAAATATCAAATTAATTTCTCAGAGAGAGACATACACACATATATATATATATTCACACATTGTTGATTAATAACTGTTAGCCAAAACATACCCACTATGAAGAAGAAAATAGAGCAAGATCAGTTAAATGTATAGCTGAAAGCATGCACTAGGTATGGTGGTATTACAAGTAGTAACAAAATAGTATTATTGCCTCCTAGTGTTCAATCGAAATACTGGTCCTTCACTGTGCTTAAAGACTCAGAATCTGGAGTTCCTTCCCTGCACATACACATTTCCTGAGGACCTTGTCACTTCATTGTCAAGGAAGACATTTTCAACGGTTTTCAGATTACTCCTTTATGACAATCATTATAACAGATACTACAAGTCCAGTCACTTTATCTACTGGGATAGATGTAGGTCTACCGTCTCGCTTCTCCTGAAGAGCAGCAATCTACGATCCCAGCTGGTACTACCAAAACACTGCATCAGTGCCATCCCACAGTGTTTCTCTAAGTGTTCCCTGGCTTGTTCTGCCACATCTCCTCTGATCTTTAACTCCTTGAAGTGGTCAAAGTCAGACCGCCCTAGCTTCCTCAGCCTCCTGGCAGCCGAGCGGTAGCACTTCCAGGGCTGGGCCTCCAGGAGAAGGTGTTGGCTGACGGATGCCAGCCGGGAGAGGAGCCCCAGCAGGGCAGCGTCTCCATGGTTCAGGTGGACCCACATGGTAACAGCCAGGCACAGGGAGAGGTGGAAGCGGAAGCAGCCATGTTGTCTCAGGTAGTCCTGTAGCTGGGTCTGGCTAGCAGCATCCTCAGTGATGTCTAAGGGAATGAACGAGATGCTCTGGGGGAAAGGGTTGGTCTGTTGGGCACGGAGGATCAGGGTTTCGTCCAGGTCGAAGCCAAGGAGCTGGAGATCACTGTCGGGTGGTGTTGTAGCGTCTTCAGACAGGACCCTCTGTTGGAGGTGTCTGTACAATGCAACTGTCAGGTCCTGATATATATTACACATGGATAGATGAGAAAAATACTTCATTAGTGTCAGACAACTGACTCAAAGTATTCAATGACCGATAATGAAACTCAGTGATTGTTCTCTTAACTTGTGTGTGTGGTAGATCAATTTGTAAAGGATGGCTAACATGATTAAATCTTTCTGTGGCTAACGTTAGCTGGCTAACTTAGCTAGCTTTAGCTTACCCCTGAATTGCAGCCGACATCCAGCATCAATATGGTTTCACTGCTGTCTTTGCCATACCCCAAATCCTGAATAAGTGTGGTCGGAATGAGGCTTAGACGGTTCTCTGGTGGGTTGAATGTGTAATAGTTTATAAAATTGCCGTAAGGCGCTGCACCGGGATCATCTTTTTCATCCAGAACTTCACTCTCTGCTCCACATGTTGCCATCGTTCTTCTCACGTGTGCAGCATCAAAATACGTCCGATTTAGGAAACATGTACAGAACGTCTATACGGCTCCACCCACTACTGATTACTCAAGAACCGAATGACTTTTGACCCTCGCAAGACTCCATTGCTTTCAGTTACGGAAAAAGTTCGCTAGCTAGCTAGGTGTGTTGACATTGAGAGGGGTATCATTAATCTGACTATCGTTCTCTTTTACAAGAAAGGTAAGCAACAATGCAATTTACATAGCAATAATCTGAAACTGGAAATTCATAGAATGTTGATGTCATTTGTTGATAATAGCTTGCTAACCTTGATAGCTAGCCAATTGTTAGCTAGCTAACCTAGCTGCCTAGCTAAATTCCATCAGATACCCTGTGTCTTTAACTAACATCTGATAGTGTTATAATTTTTTGTTGAAATGTAAACAGGGAGATGTATGTAGCCAGCTACTCTTCGTTATACTACAACTTGTAGTTGCTGGATAACCTCCTCAGAGACCCACATGTATTTGGTTCCGCCAGGAACACCATCACCATGTTGACCACCGCAAAGCGTCTCGCCGACTTCGGATACCGGGGGTTTTCTGCCTCGATGATGCTGTTGACACTCTACGGGGGATACCTGTGTACCATGCGGGGATACCGCTACATGAACAAGCAAAAGGAGCTGCAGGTAGCGGCAGAAAACCAAGACGTGGAAGCCCTCAAGCCATAGAGGACTGGAACTGGATAGTTTGTCCACAAAATCATGGACATTTCTGTTCCTCCCATGGGACTTTTATGTGATAACTGTATTTGGGTGTGGAAGTTTTGTGTGCCCAGAAGAGTAAAGGAGAATCTACTCTTCATTTGCTGTCAACTTCATCCTTTGTCTGCTAAAAGGAGAGTGGGCAGAGGACTGGAGTTGACTGAAAAATGAGTTGACCCCTTCCAGCTTAAACTAAATGTCAAATCTGTCTCCTATCATAACTCTCTCAGGACACCCTGAATCACGGTTTGTGTGGTGGGATATTCAAAGTTATGTTACAACCATTAATATGAATATAAACATCTTACACAAATAAACATATTTTGGTCTCTGTACTCAACACACCAATGGATGATCTCCACTGAAGAGGATTGTGTTGGCTTCTTCACATTAAATTCATATGCATTTTTACCAATTACATTGAGGCAAACGACATTTTAAAACATTAAACATTCATAACAATTCAATAAACATTGGTCTCATATTAATAATATAGAAACAGTCTAAACAGAACAGAAACAAACAAAAACAAAGTAACTGAACAATTAATTCTTAAAATATACAGTAGTAACTCAAGTCCACCTGACCAATAAAACAGGGAGAGAAGAGAAACTGCAGCATCACATAAAAAAAATGGGACTACTAACAAACAGTCTATGTACATAAGGTACTGCAAATATCTACAGATCTACTTGACATCAGGTAATGCAAATATTTGTTTAATCAGTTTTGATTCTCTGGGTCACAGTGTGTCTACTCATCCATTGTCTGTTGTCATAGTTACCGATCTTCTTAAATGTACTATGATCATTGTCAGTTCTGAAGAAGAAAAATTAAAAAGAGTCAGGTGAATGAAGAAACTGAGTCTTAAACTGTCCAGGGAACTGGATGAGGCTGGAAAAGCGCTTCAAGATGTAATCTAGGATAGGATGAACTAGTAGTGGAAAGGCCTTACAGATATGCCTGATTCTCACTATAGGGCTGACCTGAACAGTACTGGCTCAGATATTGTCCTTTCCAGCACAGTTCCAACAAATAGTGGATGCGCAGCGTAACCAGGCCAGACATATTTGACCTGGCTCGGCTCGGCCCTATAGTGTGAATCAGACAGCAGACTCCTCTCTATCACCTGCTGCTGCTGTGTTTCTGTGGCCAGCTGTTAGTGGTGACGGTGTGGCCATTGGTGCCGTTCTCTGCCTTAGGAGAGAAAGCCATTTTAACCCCCCTGTCGTTGGTCCCGTTGGTGTCAGCCTCCTCTGAGACACCTCTCATCCTTAGACACCTGACAGACAGAAAAATACAATGTTACAATTCAAAGTGAATGACGTGCTTGACATCCTGGAAACATGGTTGCAAGGTCAGAACGAATAAGGCACCTTATTTTCATAGGTAATTACACATAAATTAATAACAGAATCTCTTCATATGTAACCCATTGCCAGTCAAAATGTCACAGACTGCCTTTGTGAATTCTGACTCAAACTGCACATGCTGGAGTTTACCACATTGTTTGGAGGGGAAAGTATATGAAGGCATAAATAAAAGACTTACTGAAGAGAATATATAGTCGTCAGTTAGACAGGGCAAGCAAGCAAAAGAGAAGTGGAGGAGGAAGACTCAGCCGAGAAAGAGAGATGGAAAGATAGGAGGATCCCTCTCACCCCAGAGAGAAAAGAAAGGAGCCATCTCTGCAGAGAGAAAGAGAAGGAAAGGTATGAAGCAATATATAACGTGTTATTCCGTAGTCCTTCCATAGCCTCCAACATGCAACAGGTGTTGTTATTTATAGCCTGAGCTGAGGTCTGACATGATGGAACTTCCACTCCTGAGGTTCTCAAGTCTGGGCCTGTATTCACAACAGTCTCCGAGTAACATTGCTGATATAGCATCAGTTGTGTCTTTTAGATCATAATGAATAAGATTATACGAACAGGAAGGACCTGATCCTAGATCAGCACTTCTACTCTTGAGACGCTTTCTTAATACAGGCCCTGTCCTCATACAGGCTCCGACTAGAACCCAGAGTTGTGTCCCTAATCTGGAGAAGTCAGAGCTGTACTACAACTCCCACTCACCTTTCTACATCTGACCTGTACTAGTCCTACATCCCACTCACCTTTCCTCGGACCAAGGCCTTCCCGGCTATGAGGTAGGACCAGATGACGTAAAATAAAATAACAGAAGGGAGGCTGTATAAAGGGGCGTACCGGTACAGAGTCAATGTGCGGGGGCACCGGCTAGTCGAGGTAATATGTACATGTGGATAGAGTTAAAGTGACTATGCATAAATAATAAACAGAGTATCAGCAGCGTAAAAGAGGGGGATGGGGTGGGGGGGGCAGTGCAAATAGTCCGGGTAGCCATGATTAGCTGTTCAGGAGTCTTATGGCTTGGGGGTAGAAGCTGTTGAGAAGCCTTTTGGACCTAGACTTGGCGCTCCGGTACCGCTTGCTGTGTGGTAGCAGAGAGAACAGTCTATGACTAGGGTGGCTGGAGTCTTTGACAATTTTGAGGGCCTTCCTCTGACACCGCCTGGTATAGAGGTCCTGGATGGCAGGAAGCTTGGCCCCAGTGATGTACTGGGCTGTACGCACTACCCTCTGTAGTGCCTTGCAGTCGGAGGCCGAGCAGTTGCCATACCAGGCGGTGATGCAACCAGTCAGGATGCTCTCGATGGTGCAGCTGTAGAACATTTTGAGGATCTGAGGACCCATGCCAAATCTTTTCAGTCTCCTGAGGGGGAATAGGCTTTGTCGTGCCCTCTTCACGACTGGTGTGTTTGGACCATGATAGTTTGTTGGTGATGTGGACACCAAGGAACTTGAAGCTCTCAACCTGTTCCACTACAGCCCCGTCGATGAGAATGGGGGCGTGCTCAGTCCTCTTTTTTTCCCTGTAGTCCACAATCATCTCCTTTGTCTTGGTCATGTTGAGGGAGAGGTTGTATACCTGGCACCACACGGCCAGACCTCTGACCTCCTCCCTATAGGCTGTCTCATCGTTGTCGGTGATCAGGTCAACCACTGTTGTGTCGTCGGCAAACTTAATGATGGTGTTGGAGTCATGCCTGGCCATGCAGTCATGTGTGAACAGGGAATACAGGAGGGGACTGAGCATACACCCCTGAGGGGCCCCTGTGTTTAGGATCAGCGTGGCAGATGTGTTGTTACCTACCCTCACCACCTGGGGGCGGCCCGTCAGGAAGTCCAGGATCCAGTTGCACAGGGAGGTGTTTAGTCCCAGGATCCTTAGCTTAGTGATGAGCTTTGAGGGCACTATGGTGTTGAATGCTGAGCTGTAGTCAATTAATAGCATTCTCACGTAGGTGTTCGTATTGTCCAGGTGGGAAAGGGCAGTGTGGAGTGCAATAGAGATTGCATAATCTGTGGATCTGTTGGGGCGATATGCAAATTGGAGTGGGTCTAGGGTTTCTGGGATAATGGTGTTGATGTGAGCCATGACCAGACTTTCAAAGCACTTCATGGCCACAGACGTCAGTGCTACGGGTCGGTAGTCATTTAGGCAGGTTATCTTAGTGTCCTTGGGCACAGGGGACTATGGTGGTCTGCTTGAAACATGTTGGTATTACAGACTCAGTCAGGGACATGTTGAAAATGTTGGTGAAGACACTTGCCAGTTGGTCAGCACATGCTTGGAGTACACGTCCTGGTAATCCGTCTGGCCCTGCGGCCTTGTGAATCTTGACCTGCTTAAAAGTCTTACTCACATCTGCTACGGAGAGCGTGATCACATAGTCATCCGGAACAGCTGGTGCTCTCATGCATGCTTCAGTGTTGCTTGCCTCGAAGCGAGCATAGAAATGGTTTAGCTCGTCTGGTGGGCTTGTGTCACTGGGCAGCTCGCGGCTGTGCTTCCCTTTGTAGTCTGTAATAGTTTTCAAGCCCTGCCACATCCGACGAGCGTCAGAGCCGGTTTAGTACGATTCAATCTTAGTCCTGTATTGACTCTTTGCCTGTTTGATGGTTCGTCTGAGGTTATAGCGGGATTTCTTATAAGCGTCCGGGTTAGAGTCCCGCTCCTTGAAAGCGGCAGCTCTACCCTTTAGCTCAGTGCGGAGGTTGCCTGTAATCCATGGCTTCTGGTTGGGGTATGTACGTACGGTCACTTTGGGGACGACATCATCGATGCAGTTATTGATGAAGCCAGTGACTGATGTGGTGTACTCCTCAATGCTATCTGAAGAATCCCAGAACATGTTCCAGTCTGTGCCTAGCAAAACAGTCCTGTAGCTTAGCATCTGCGT